CGATATTACAACTATAACACCTTATTACTACCACACAACGTATTCCTGAAACAGGACATTAATTCAAATAAATAAAATTAAAACACTTATGTAATTGACTTCTACAAATGGTACTTATCAAACAAATATAAAAATATGGTTACTTTATGAAAACATAATATAATTATTAATAATATTCTTTAATTTTATCCATGAAACTTAAACTTATAAAACACTTTAACATACCTGTAAACTATATCCAATAGAATCCAGATTACCATATGAAATTCAAACACATCAATGTGGTGAAAGTACAAACTGACTTGACTATACAAAAGCTAGGTAACTAATGACTCTGTATCCAGGTATCCCGATATTCCAAAAGAATGTAACAACAAAGTGATGAAAGATCACTGAAAAAAGTTTATAGAATTAAACTCAAGAAGAAATAAGAAGAGTAAGAGAGAAAATAGAAAGTGAGAACAAATTAGGAGATTAGTAATAAGTTTTTGCTGTAAAGATAAATCATTCATTATCATTAAAGTCACATTCTCTCATACTATAACATACTCCCTCCCCAAATTAAGAATGTATTTATTTACCTATCAATTAAAATCATCTGAAAACACTGACTTAGATAATACGGGTAACATTTCTAAAACTACACATGTACTTTTAACTGGTCTGGAGATAATGACATGAAATCCTGTGGCAGCATTGATCTTATGATCTCAGCACGTTGATGCCAGATTAAGGTGGGTGTAGGTTTCGTTGAAAATACATACCTACCATCTGTCATCCATGCTGGTTCTTTACGTTGTTGAACTGGTCGCTGAGTATCCTCTGGTGTCTTACTTGAAGATAATGGTTCTGGTACACGTGACTCTGGCCTAGTTTCTTCACCTTGTTGAACAACTTTGGTACTTTCAACCCTGTCTCTATCATCTTCTCTTCCAGATGTAGCTCTAGTGGTGTCGACTGAATACCTACAACTAGTATCCTCCACTATATACTCTGGTTCTGACACCTCTTCACTCAGATCAGTTGACTCCGACTCCTTTGGACAATCTGAAGTTGATTTTCCTCTGGGTTTCCTGGTAACAATATCAGGCATTGGTACCAATGTGGTTGCTGTTGGTATACTGCCTATTGGTAACAAATTACCAAACTACATAAACAGGTATTTCTGGATCTGGTCTTGATGAAACTGTGTACAGTGTATCCTCCCATTTGTCTGCAATTTTGTGTCTTCCATCAAAAGCTAAACGTTTGACAAGTACTGTATCTCCAATTTCCAGATGGTTACTCCTCGCTCGCAAATTATACTTTACCTTTTTATTCGGATGTGATCTATTTACCTCTGCTGCATCTTTCTCATATGCATATCTTAATTTCTCCTTCAGATTCTTCATGTGTGTGTTATAATTTCTACTATCTTCTTAATTCACCAATCCAAGGAAAACATTAATAACTAAAGTAGATTTTCTGCCAAACATTAAATGAAAAGGTGAAAATCCAGTTGTAGTATGTTCAATGCAGTTGTACAAATGCACAAGTGGTGGAACAAAAGTCTTCCAATCAGCTTTTTTCTCAAGATCTAATGTACCAAGCAAGTTCAAGAGAGTGCGATTAAACCTTTCACACTGGCCATTACCCTAAGGGTGATATGGCGTAGTTCTCGATTTGTCCATACCTGTCAGAGCACACAATTCCTTAATCACATTACCTTCAAACTGGGATCCTTGGTTACTGTGGATTCTTTTAGGGATGCCATAATGAACAATGAAATGATCAAAAATACTCGTAGCTGTTGTTCTTGTTGTAGTGTTTCTCACTGGAATTGCCTGTGCATACCTCGTAAAATGAACTAAGATTTTAGAAACGTTCAAATACCTTACTCATTCTATCAATATGCTCCTCATAGGTACGACTGAAAATAATTAAATCATCTATAAAAATAGTACAAATATGTAAGTTTAAATCACCCAAACAATCTTCCATCTTCCGTACCGGTGACAATGACAAATTAGATATTCTGACAATAACATCTTCTAAGGCTTCTGAATCAATTTCTAACACAGCTGGAGTAATCTCTACAGCTGATAATCTACAATAATGTGATTCGTGAAACATAACCTTATAT